TAATTCTTTTGCGCTCGGCCTTTCTTATGGTCCAACTTTTACAGCCATACATTGCAACTGGGAAAACCATGGCCGTGACTATACATGAAAGGTTAGATAGACTTTCCTAATTTCTAATGATCTGATTAATTACTAAAGATATTTGAAATATACAGAGTTTTATATATTACAGAAAATAAGATAGTATTAAGCATCTTAAAAGACAACACACAGTAGTTACCTTTTTGTTTCAGACTGGTTTCCAGTGTTACAAAACTTTCATAGAAGATAAGATACATTTGAGAATAGTTGATCTCAAAGAACTGTTTGAGTTCACTTCCATCTACAGCATCTATACAAGAAAGATTAAAACAAAAAGTTACTGTATGTGAAAGATATAATACATAAATTATTATTAAAATGCATAAACAAAATAATGTAATAGGAAGAAAATACTGGAAACACAACTATATGACCCAAACACTAGCATTAAAGGACAGTATTCAGATTATCTGGAAGTTTGGAATTGTCTAGTTATTTCTATATTTATAAGTAAATTCCATTTTAAGATAAAAGTTTAAAATAGTTGAAATTTCTGCTCATGCTACAAAATTTGGGATCACAATTAAAAATAAGGTATCTTAAATTTAATTTTATGATGGATTTAATTCACTTTTATATTGCTTTATAAGTTAGTTCCATGTATTCACAGTTTGCTTTGGTATTTCAGCACAGTAATGGTCCGGTGAATGAGGCATTCAATGAAATTTTCAATGGATGCAGCTTATTCAGTGATCTGAGATGTTATAAATGAGTCACGCCTGATGTATCTCTACTAATATGTACAGTTTCTTCGAATTTCAAACTGTTATAGTTGCAGCTTTTATGCTTTTCCACACATTTCTTTCAGCAGAAATAAGGGAAAAAGTAAACTCACTCTTTATTAAAGTTACAGTTCCTACCCCAAGCAACTGGGATGAAAACACTCCTGGAACCATGCCAAAGTGACCACTCTCTGAGTCTCAGTTTAGAAGAGATCAAGCTGACCATGACCTTAACAGAAGAGTTAAAAGAAAATCAATGCCTCTCTTTCTGTTTTTAAATCAGCTGAACTAGCTGCCAGAACAGGACACTTTAGGAAGAAACTCAGGCACTCAGTGTAGCTCAAGACAGCATTGTCATGCCTGATCTGTCTTTCACAGTTACTTGCAGGGATAATTTTGGTCTCACCTCTTCCCTGAACTAGCTTTCTGCTTTCACAAGCCATGATTCCAATTTTAATTCCAATTTATTGAATCCTTTGACAACAAGTAGGAAAAAAAACTACAAGCAGAACTTAGAAGTATATTCAGTATTCAGCCTTATTTTTCACTTCTTTTTCAACTCTGGATCCCTTGTCTCAAAACAAAGCCTTGCAACATTCTACATTACCTAAAATATCTTGTCTGTGCAAAGTAAATCAGCACAAAAATCCTCTGAATGGTCAGAAACTGCTGTTAAAAGAGGTAAAATAACTTTGGATATTGTGTGGTTTTAAATTTTTAATATAAATAAATATCTAGTCATGTATATCTTCCCCTTCTATCATATCAAACTTTGCAATTTGTTAACAAATTGTGTACTTTTTTATAAAACACTTAGATCTGCTGGAGGATGCAATCAAGAGTTGTGATTAGTAACAATTCAGGTCTTTTATTAACATAGACATAATTTAAGAGCAAGCAGAATGAATAGGAAATAGCTGCAAATTATAGGAACAGTGTTCCATAAAAGCAAAATGCACATTTTATTAATCAATCTTTGTAATGGAGACCCCCTTAAGGACATGAAAGTATATCAAGGCAGAAGTAACACTGAAAGGAAAGGAAGTTCATTTTGACCTTGCTAGTAAGATTCTGCATTTTTACATGATTCCATTTGTCTGAATAATTTATGACTGCTAACAAAAAAGGAAGTACAGATAGCACTTCCTCTCATTTTACAGTAACTAAAAATGAATGGAATAAAGACAGCCAACCAGTCTCATAAAGTTCGGGTGAAAACATACAAAAAATTTGGATGAGAATACCAAAATCTCACATGAGTTGCTGATCCTCTCAGATATCAAATATTACAACACACACACACACACACACCTCTCTCTCTCTCTCTCTCTCTCTCTCTCTTTCCACTCATGCACATATACATGCATACCCATACATACGTGCATACACATGCACACAGTCATGCAACCATAATTTTATAATGTGATCCTCAAGATTACTTATTGGGCCTATCATAATACACTAAAAAAAGAGCTGAATAAAAGGAGAATTCAACTTTCCTGATATTTGCAGAAATATTACAAAAGATGTGTTTATCAAGATCTATTCTATACACTGACACAACAGGACTAAAATTATTCTAAATATGCAGCTTTAAATATGGTAGAGCATAAGCCTCAACTAATACTGCAGAATGTATTTCTAAGCATTGTGAATATGTTAGCTCTACCATATGATTGTTATCCATAATTAAAGAAATTCTAACAGGAAAATAAAAACCAGAGAAATCAGGCCCAAAGTTAAAAATAGTTCACAAAAAGGAAAATATACATGAATGCATTCCTTTTTGATTTCCAAGTGTCCCCAAAACCCAGCATATAAGTATCAATCTCTGTAGTTAATTCCATTAATGACAGTGGTATTCCTGATAAAATTTATTCTGGCTATTGAAATTTATTTATCTGTGTAAAAAATATCATAGATATTTTACTACTTTTTCCATAATTCTCCTCTTCATAGCTTATCAAGGAGAGGTAAAAAGCATTTGCTATAACTTGGCATTATTTAGGATTTAAATTGTAATATTTTTGTTTGTTTTGAATTATGAGTATACAGCCTGAATAGCATACTTTTAGTTATATAAACTGAGAATCTGAGGCAAGTGGAAAAGAAACTGAAAAGGTGTTAAGAAAGATTATTAGCTTTAGAAACAGAGATAATTTTTGAAATTCTCTTTTTTAAAAAAAAGAAAATCTGAGGTTTTAATGGAGGGAGAAAACATTCTAATCATAAACATGCAGTTTTACCATCAGATTAAAATAATTTAGGATACAGTTAAACTCTTGTAAATTATTTACTAGACTTTCTTTTTCAAAAATATGAATGTGTTATCAGACAAATAATAATTTTTATGATAACTCAAAAGGAAGGACAATCAAAATCTTTTTTGGGAAACTATTATTTCCAATTCTTTTACTACTCAAACTTTTACAGTACTTAATCTCTCTAAGATTTCTTTTTCAGATTGGTTCATTATTTTCTGAATGTGTTTCCTCAACGGTAGGTAAAGCTACACCAATAACTGAAATATAATACTGCATAATAATTGCCTTTATCGAGGTAGAATTTACCCACAGCTTCTTTCTCACTAACATACAATGAATTGGTACAGATGCCACTTTTAGTACAAGTTTAAAATAACAGTACTAATAGCAACCACCATCTTATTTTCAGGCAAACGTGTTTTCCAATATTCAGGATTAGAAGGAAATATGGGTATATATTAATCACTAGGTTATATGACAGGAGTAAAGATTAAGATTTGAATTCTAAATGTTTTATGCTCAAATACCTCAGATCTTTAGACTTTGAATAAAATGCTGGGAGCTTCAAACAGCCCATTTCAAAGTCAAAGTACCTGTTTGCAACTAAAAACAGAGGTTGAAATATTTTGCATGCCCCTCTGACATCTTAGTCAGCAGATAATAAACAGTAATTACAGTTCAGCTACAAGTCCAGCCACTTTTAGTAGAGGCTAAAACTGCACAGTTGTTGTTCTTAGCATTTATCTCATCTGGCTCCAGTGGCTGCTTGTTTTTGCACTGCACTCACCTAGCTCATAGGGTGAATCTATCTCTATATATTATATGACAAAGAGTTTCTTTCTCATCCAGAATACGATACTGATTAGGGATGAACCTCAGGGAAAACTAGAACCTGAATCACCTCACTCATAGTCCAACACCTTAACCATTATATGATGAAAACTCTCTCAGGAAATAAAATCCAGTAACATACAACATCTACTTGCTAAAATGTACAATTTACATTTTAATGAACAGATCCCAGCATTTTACTAAAAGGATAGGGCAGCTCTTAACTCATAAAAGTGTATACATCTCTGCTTCATAATACTTCATTATTTTGGGAATCTCTAAAAACAGCACAATGTTGCTTTTATGAGTCACACCTTTTACATCAGTTTGAAGAGATTATTATTAATATTAATCCAAAAATGGACAGATTTCAGATTTATAGAGTTAATACTGTTTTTAAATCTTTAAGAATTCAGCAATTATAAGACCATTTATTCACTCATTATTAATTTGATGCCCCTTGATTCCAGCAAACTCCCTTTCCTGGAAATTTCCAGGACTTTATAACTTTCAAGGGTATATATTTAATAGTGAGTGAAGAAAGGGGGTCTGTTGGTCTATCTGTCATCTTATCACTTATCACCTTAGTCAATAAAGAGGTTAGTGGAGACCCCAAGATTTTTGGTCTTGGGACTCATCGACTATTTAATTCCAAGATTCTCCTGACAAGTGAAATTCAGACTCTTAAGACCTGTCATGGATTTCACTATGATTGTTTTAGCATATTGTTTTAGCAGAAGTTGATAGTTTATTTGATCTGGTTTTCAACACGGAAAGCAGTAGTTTATATAGCAAAGTATTAGAAAAGTTGTCTTTTGTCAGGGGCTGACATATCTGATAAGTTTAGAATGGTCCATGCCTCCCTCTGCAGGCATGATGACTAGATTAGATCAGTGTACCCTAGGGGTGGGTAGATCATGTAGATTTCAGAGAGTTCTGAGGGATATTCTCTCAGGCCTGGTCCTTTCAGTAATCCCCCAGGCATTTTTTGATGCAGCATCTCCTAATTGCCCTCTGTCCAATGCTAAGCCATATGTTTTACAAGCTTCAAAAAGACATCAACAAGCAATTTGGCCTTCTATATTTGGCCCATGTTATAAAATCAATTGCCACTAGAGTCAAAGCAAGTTCATTTCTTACAATTCAGAAGGGGTAGCAAAATATATTTATTGTTTCAGATCTTTTGACACTACTACTACTATAATTTCTACTTTATATATTATTTTTTAATAGTGTTTAATTAGTATTTCTCTCCAAAGCTGTTAATGGAGTAGAATGGTAATAAATCTGTCTAAATACTTTAAATAAACATGAACAAGATGCTAGATTTTATAGAAATGAGGTCATCATAAGATAATGACATTTCCAATTCATGAGTGAAGTCAGAAGCAAGGAGACAGAGAGGCTTGTTCCTTGAAAAGATTTTAGTTTACTATTTAAAAGGATTTTCACAATGCATATTTTAAAAGGTCAAAATTAAAATGTACAAAAATAAACTTCAGCAATCTGTAGAAGCTGCTACTAAAAGGTAAAGCTATAAATAAAAGTTATCACTTCAGTGTTGAGATGAAGAACTCCCATGGTGGAATGTTATCTCCTTGCACAAAATTAATATTTTTGCTTCCCCTTTAACAGTATATTATGTAACTTCCTGGAAGAACATTGTTTTATTATTAGAAGCAGATAAGGTGCAGCTGAAAAATTCTGCTTTTTTACTGCTTTTAGTCACTAGAAGCATTTGTTTGCAATGAATGAGAGAAAATCCTCAAAATAAAATTAACACTAATGCCAAAAAACATTTTGTTCAGCTTTAACATATTGGAAACCATTAACAATTAACCAGTGGAACAACCTGCCTCCAGAAGCGGTGAATGCTCCAACACTGGAAGTTTTTAAGAAGAGACTGGACAGCCATTTGTCCGAAATGGTGTAGGGTTCCTGCCTGAGCAGGGCATTGGACTCGATGACCTCCAAGGTCCCTTCCAACTTTATTATTATTATTATTATTATTATTATTATTATTATTATTATTATTATTATTATTATTATTATTATTATTATTATTATTATTATTATTATTATTAACTGGTACTTCCACATACAAATTATTTATTTGTCCAATTATTTATTTGTTAAAAATGTGTGGATGGGGAATCACTAACAACCTCAGACAATACTTCAGGAAACAATTTCCTATATTCTCCAATGATTCCCTGCACCATTATGGCACTGGTAAATATCCAGTCATCAGAAGATAGAGAAAAGAAATTAATATTCTGGTTTGAAGTTTGAGATCATGGAGGATCCTGTACTATGATACTATGGCTTTTAAATTTTACATTGCTATCACTAACTTAGTAATCTGCACAGCTTGAACTGCATAAACAAAAATGCATCACCAATCCTCCAGGCTATTTTGCTGTATCTAACCTTACAACTTAGGACTAATTTTGGCACTTTAAAATATAGGGGTTTTTTAAGCTGCAAGAGAACTTCTGGAGCCGGCGTTTTGTTTTGCTTTTTACAAGAAGCTGGACAACAATCTAAAATCAAGGAGAGGAACGAGAGAAGGAACATAAGCGGCGCATTGAAGTGGGTTCTAAGGCAAAGCTTCAGGCATGGAGCTTTTTTGAACCAGCAGCAAATTCCACGCGACAATTGCTTGGCTGCTATTGCTAAGGCTCCTGAACCTTTAAAACGCTTCCTGTAACCCCTACAGTACCATCAGTCAGCTAGACCAGAGTAACTGCCAGCTGCTGGTGCAGGAGGCGGGAGATACACGATCGCACCTGAGACGCCCGCCTCCTACTCCCGACCTGTCTTTCAAGCCCCCTCCCCCTCCCCCTCCCGGGCTTGGAGCTGTGCTCTCGCCACGCCACTCACCCATCAAAGCCCGAAGGTGCTTGAGACGAGTCAGCGGCTCTTTCCGCGGGTCCAGCGCCTTCTGCGCAGACTTCTTGACATCCGCATGACCCCTCCGCGAGAACATCTCGAGGGTGCTTGAAGGGAGTGCAGCCGCCGCGGCCGCCCTCCCGCCTTTGTCCTCGCTCGGCTTCTTCTGCACCGACTCTCGCCCCGAGCTTGGCTCCCCTGGCCAGTCTCGGGGGCTGATCCGGACGCTCAGCCACAGAGAGAGAGAGAGCAAGGTTGCAGGCGGGGAGAGGGGAAGGGGGCGGAGCTAAGCCCCGTGAGGGGAAACAGGCGGGGCTTGCCGCCGTCGCTGGGCGGGGCATAAGGTAGCAGTCAGAGGGACCCCTCTCGTTGTTTTTGTGCGAGGCGGCTACTTCACGGAACGGAGAGGGGTTCGCCTCCTATGCTGCCGGAATATGTTTCGTTTATTTAAATTATTTATAAATAAGTGGTTCCTCCCCCAGGGCTGGAAGCTGTAGCCACGCGCATTCGCGTGATTTAAATTCGCACATTTAGAACTACAAAGTCCAGAGGGCTGGATGGGCGGCCATCTTGGCGGGCGCGGGGTCGTCCAGAAGGCGCAGCCGCTTGCAGCAAGTCCAGGGGGCGCCTTGCGTGTTACGTTGCTCCTGCGGGCGCTGGCAACTGCTCCTGATATGTGACCTTGATATGAACTCCGCAAACGAAGCTGTGAATAATTGTACTAAATTACAGGGATTTTCATAATGGTTAACCAGATATCATTAACTGTAAATTCAGAATTGTGCGGGGGTTGAAATGGATCCAAGATTGCACTTTGTTTGCTAGCTGCCTCTATTGGGAATAAAGTGTGCAAAATCATTATACTCAATCAGATTCAGATAGACGTGGAAGCAGCTGAGCTCCCCGTCAGAAAACGTTTGCTTGAGGCTTACTCCATATATTTTGGATTACAATTCCCATGATTCTCAATTGGTGCATCTGGAGAAGGTTGTTTTTCATTGCAAAGTATGTACTGTACTGGGCATTCTGAGATCCCTAAAGAAAATAGAACTCTGTAGGACTCCAAGGAAAAGGCTTATTTCATTTCAAGAAATTATATACCATTCCTTTTTTAAAAAAGTCAAAAGCAGTTTTTATCAGCAATGGTGAGAAACTGCTTCATTACCGATCATCATAAATAAATGTTGAGTGACTCATTTCCCAGCTTAAGGAGGAAATGGATCCAGTGCAAACAATTCTAGCTACCTGACTGACTCCACAATCTCCTGCAGTATGATTGGCTTCTATGACAAATGCACAAGGCTGATGTACAAAGGGTCTGTTTGTTTGTTTTAAACTACCTGAGATTAATTTTTAAAGGCATTTTTCCATGTTTGATGCCTGTTTGAGGAGTAAATGTTGCTACAATCATGTCTCTACATCTTGGCTTCTCCCCAAAATATATTTTTTTAAAAAATATATATCATACTTACTTGAAAGCAATCCTATAGTGCCTCACAGTTTATTCTATATACTAGTATCTATATTTCAGGATTACAGATAGTCCTCGACTTATGACGATTATTGGGACTAAAACAGGGGTGTCCAAACTTTTTTCAAAGAGGGCCAGATTGGATGAAGTGAACGTGCTGGAGGGCCAAACATTTTTCCGAACATTCTTTGAACCATTACAATTTAATGCAAATGAATTATTTTATGCCTCTTTCCTCTCCCTCTCTTTCCTCTTTCTCTCTCTCTCTCTTTCCTTTCCCTTTCCTCTCTCTCTTTCTTTTTCCTCTCCCCCTCTTTCTCTTTCCTCTCTCTCTTTCTCTTTCCTCTTTCTCTCTTTCTCTTTCCTCTAACTTTCTCTTTCCTCTCTTTCTCCTTTCTTTCCTCTTTTCTTCTCTTTCCTCTTTCCTTCCTTTCTCTTTCCTTTCTCTCTTTCCTCTCTCTTTCCTTTATTTCTCTTTCCTC